AAGATCGTTATATATTTCACGTGGTATATATTGTTCAACGAAATTTTAAAAATGAATGCGCCCAGATCAGCACTCACGACAGTGAAAAAACGAAGCAGAAAGAAGGTTTCGCGTTAGGGCTTTTTGTCCTGTGCAGGGTTCCGTCCTCGTCAGTGAAGAAGAATGGCTGCCTGGTTGTGGCTCCGCTGTATTTTAGGGCCTCAACTGCAGCGAATTCACCGCTCGCCAGATCCGCAGCGACCCGATGGCCGAGCAGGGAGAAGGGTAAGGATATGTGTGCAGCTCTTTTCATCATTTTTCTACAAACGAGCCTAAAATGGGTGACGTTCTACGGTACGGAAGCTGTGCGGTGCGGCAGCCGCTACGGCCCGGAAGTGTCAGCTATTTGTTATTGAAGCCGAGCTGTCACTGCTGCGAAGACAGTGAATGGATGAATGAAAGAAGTATAAGATTAATGTTGTTGCCTCGTCGTCTACAGTTTTTTATTTAATTTGATCACCACACGAACCAAGCAGGTGAATCGCTGCTTTACTGTTCACTGCTGCATCTAACGATATTAAGGCGGTTGTGCTAATGTTGGGAAAATGGAATTGACCAGAATGTCGAAATATAAAACATTCAGTGAGAAAATAATAACAATAATAAGAAGTTGTCCAGTGAACTCTGACTGTAGGTGCTTAAGGTGTGCTAAAAATTCAGTGCTACAGGCTAAGCTATCGTTAGCATCAGTGCTCACTGTACGTTACACACGGTCCACAATAACAAATGAATCAAACCACAGTACAGTGAACCTTGATTCAAATAATTAATCAAATTAACAGCAGTTTTGAATAAAACAACACCAGTGAGATGAACGGCTGATAAACACCACGGTGTTGTTGAAGTTTATTTTGAACAAATTGTAAGCACTTTTTTTTTTTTTTTACAATATTTAAAAATTGGTGTATGTGCTCTTTATGACATGAACCGTTTGTACGTGTTTTTCAGGGATGGAACTACCAACCGAGGGGTCTAGAGAAACACACAGATGGCATCCTGGGCTGGGTCAGTGTCTGTGGTTCTGTCCTACAGACAGAGTCTGTTTCTTCTTTGACGTGTTTTAACGTTTGTTTGTTTCTGCTCCACAGGCGTCGACACTCTGGTCTCTGTCCTACTACAGCTCTCCACTGCTGCTGTGTTATCTGTACAGGAAAGGTACTGGACTTAGTATTTGATGCTGTTTTCACTGGTACATACCACGACTAGAGCTCATCATTAATGAGTGTTGTGTTAGTTGAACGTTTTTAATCATTCTTTTTTATGATCATGCAACTCAAACTCATCGTCACTGATTTTACATTTATTTTTAAAATTCTACTTTAACCAACATTATTTCTAGTCATGATATTATTGAGTGATAATGGTTTAGAAGTTATTTCTTCTAAATTCAAAATAATTAATGAGAAATAAAAGCTTTGTTTTTTTTTAAATCCATGTTAAAGATTAATAAATACAGCGTGTTTATAAGGGGTGCGTACTGTTTAGAATCTGATGATAACAATATGTTTTACGGTCAATAGGGTTAAGGTTCTAGGGTTGTAGAAACAGAATGAAAGCCACAGGTTCATTTCTGTGTAATATGGTAGATGTATTTTGTTCATTAAAAAGGTAAACACATTTGTCCAGCTAACGGTTTAGTTTCCTGCCTGACATTTGTTCTGGCTCTGTAATGGCAGACAAACTGCAGCAGCGGCTGGACGTTTGGAAACGACAGCAGAGATAAATATAAAGGACCTCAGGTGTACTAATCAGTCGGACTGGACATCGATACGATGTAATTACTGGAGATTTTTCCCCTAATGTTTGATTGAGCCTGTGGTATTGATCCGTGCACGTGGTCCAGGGCTGCGGTCGGACTGTAAATCTTCCTGTCTGTGTCTGTCAGTGAGACTCCAGCCGACCAATGGCAGAGGTTTGTAGAACGTGCAGTGACTGTTGCCGTTTGTTCTTGCAGGTTACATCTGCAGCAGTAAGCTGGTTCCTGTCAGTCAGTACGTGGGCACCGTGCTGGTGTGTCTACTGGGAGTGGCCTGTCTACGAGGTAACCTTCTCACTGGTCAGACTGGTCAGGCAGCCTGATGACCGACTTAATGAGGGCAGTCAATTAAACTGTCTAATTGGAATAATCACCGATAAATGAGTAGATGGAATTATTGGATGTACAGAACATGGTTTGGCTGCGAGTTAATGTGTTTTTTAAAATCTAATTAATTTCACAAATTAATTATTGCAGTAAAGTGTTTATTTTTGGCGGCGCTACACCTGCAGTGGCAGCAGATGGAGTATTTCTCCTCACCACTCTGACCCTGGTCTCTGTCTCTGTCTGGTCCTCAGGATGGGAGCGCTGGAGGAACTCTGAGTATGTTCAGTTCATCTCTTTACTTGAACAAACGAAAAAGAACAACACTCCAGAAAACAAGGTGAGGTCACTACACCGTCACCAACACCGTCACCAACACCAAACACACTGGCCTCTACTGGTTTCTGAAGAATATTTTTTTCCTTTGTGATCGTTCTTTAGAAAAAGCTCAGGTGCTACGACTTTGACTTTTCACACTGGCCCGTCGATTTCAGCTGGTCTGAGGTCAGCAGTCAGTAAGTATTCAGTCTTGTGTCGGTGCGTTGTCTGGTGTTTCCTGTTGTGTCACTCACCTGTGTCTGTGTCCACCGTGTGTCCGACAGGAAACTGACCAAGGCCGGAGTTTCACTGCTGAGGTCGGAGCCCAGACTGAGGGGGGCAGCAGACAGCGTCCTCCACTCGATCCGCACTCTGCCGTGTCACGTCATCAGGTGAGTTCAGTGAATACGCAGAACAGACCGTTCCTGGAGGTCTGTTGTCTCGTCTGTCGAGAGGTAGAGCAACAAGAGTTAGAGTTGATGAAACAAGGACAAAAAATATTGGAAATAAGGTCAAGAACCTGACGATACATATCACGGTACAGGGTCAGTGATATATTGAGGGCTTTTGTTTTGTTTTTTTTAACTATTTTTTAGACAGTTCATTGTCATTTCAGTGTGTCGATATTTCCTCACCCTCCAAAGGAAAAGAAAATCTATAAAACCTGCCTTGATGCACAGTTGAGATAGTGATGAGAGAGACCGAATGTATTTTACGGTGGATGTTGGAGGTGGAGATGTGACACAGGCTGAAACAAAAAGAAGTATTTGTCACGTACTTTGGGCTTTTGATTCACTGCTGCCGACTCCTGACGCTGGAAACCAGAGGGAGACGGATTTCAGAGCGTTCTTTTCTGTTAAACGTTTCCAGAGCAGTTGCTGTGCTGCAGCTCACTGAACTCTCATCTTCAAGGCAGAACTCATTTTCCAAGTGTGAAGAACTGTGGTCCAGTATTTGAAGTATTTTCTCTGTACTCTCCTCTGTAGTTTTCTCATTGCTCACTCCTTCGGGCGGAGGATGCTCTACCCTGGCTCCGTGGGTCTGCTGCAGAAAGCCATGAGGCCCATGCTGCAGCAGGGTCAGGCCAGGTTAATAGAAGAGGTAACATGAGCGCCCCCTACCTCTCTAAATCACCTGCTCTGCTTTTAACACATCCCCGTCAGTATTCCTGGTAAATTGTGTTTTTTCTGGTGACAGTTTGATGGACAGAGGAACAAACTAAAGGCCTGTGATGGTAATGAGATCGACACCATGTTTGTGGATCGACGGACGAACGGGGGACGGAAAGGACAGACTCTGGTGAGAGACGCCAGTCACTGGTTGTTTCTGTTGTTTGTCTTCACCTGGTGTTGTGTTTGTCTTGTTTGTCTTCACCT